GAGAAGCAACTGCACATTGATATTTCTCTTTCTCTTTCTTCCTCCCTTCCCCTATCTCTAAAAATGTAAATAAGTAAAATATTAAAAAAATAAAATATTTATTGTTTCAGATATATAATTTTAAATGCAGTCTACCTTATGTCAGTGTAAATTTTTTCTACATTTTGGTTTTTATATAAGGTTTTATATGTTTTACTTTGAGATATTATAGATTCACATGCAATTGTAAGGAATTATACAGAGCCCTGGCTGGTTTGGCTCAGTGGATTGAGTGCTGGCCTGAGAACCAAAGGGTCCCTGGTTCGATTCCCAGTCAGGGCACATGCCTTGGGTTGCTGGCCAGGCCCCCAGTTGGGGGTGTGTGAGAAGCAACCACACATTGATGTTTCTCTCCTCTTCTCCTCTCTCTAAAAATCAATCAATAAATAAAATCTTTAAATAATAATACAGAGAGATCTATATAATCTTCATCCAATATCCTGGAATAACATCTTGTTACTATTGTACAATAAATACAACCAGCAAATCAACTTTGATACCATCCACTGACCTTACTCAAAATTCAGTAGGTTCATAAGCATTCACTTGGGTGTTTATATTGAGTTCCAAAAAATTTTATCATATGCATAGATTTGTGTGTTTAAGATATAAGATATAGAACAGATCCATCACAAAGCTCCCTCATGTTACCTCTTTATAGCTATAGCCACCTCCCCTGGGAAGCCCTGGCAACCACTCATCTGTTCTCCATCTCAATAATTTTGTCATTTCAAGAATGTTATATACATTGAATTATATAATATGTAACATTTGATATTGACTTCATTCATTCAGCGTAATTCCCTTGAGAACCATCCAAGTTGTTGCACACGTAGTAACAACGGTATTCATTGATACCCTGTGGTAATGCCATGGTACAGATGTGCCACGGTTGGTTTAACCGTTCATCCCTTGGAGAGTTGTTTCCAAATCTGGCTGTTATGAACGAAGCTTCTATGAACATTTGTGTACAATTTTTTCTTTGAGCCTAAATTTCTTTTTTCCCTAGTTTGCTTGGTGTTGAATTTTATCAAATGCTTTTTCTGCATTAATTGGGATTATCATATGTTTCTTTTCCCTATTCTGTTAAAGTGGTGAATTATACTGATTTTTTAATGTTAAATTAGCCTTATGTCCTTGGGATAATTTAACTTGGCCATGATGTATTCTCCTTTTTAATATATCTTTGATTTGATTTGGTAGTATTTTGTTTAGAATTTTTATGCATATGTCTGTCTATAAAGGATGTTGTCCTAAAATTATTAGTCTTCTAATAATTACCAGTCTTCTTTAATGTGAGTGTCCCCCCTTCTGCCCGGAAGTTAATATCCACCCAGAGCTCTGTCCCATCTCTCATCAAAAGTCTCTCATCCAAGACTTTATAACTCATTGTTTTTCCTGGCAGAGTGACACCTTTATACCTCTATTCTGTAATGCTTGACCCAAACAGGTTGGAGAAGTTGACCTGCTTCGTAGTTTCTTGCTACCTCCTACCTTCTTGCCGTGAATTCGGTAAATTATTTTCGTTCTTCTTGCTGTTTTGCACCTCAGGGCTAAGTTTATTCCAAGGGCTGCTCTGACCATTTGCAATAGCCCTGTAGTCTGGGCATGTAGGATTATGGTTTCCTCTTCTAACCTGGCTCTATCATCTTTCAGTGATTCCTCATAGTTTTAGTCCTAAGGACATTTCTTTTTTTTATATTATGGATTTTTTTTAAATGGCATTTTGTTCTTTGCAGGGCTTTGGGGAAAGGAGAGCTTGCTCAGCCAGCCATCTTGATTCAGTCAACGATTACATTTATAATGACATAAATTTAATAAAAAGGAGAAAAGATTCAAACATGTAGCAAAAATGAAATACTGATGAAAGGATTGAAGAAATTATGTTTCTTTCTTTTGAAGAGTAGATGCAATCGTAAATGAAGATTGGCAGTTTAAATACATAAAAACTAAAACTTCAATAAACAAAACTTCAGACCAGGAATATATGTACATGAAGTGGTAAAGGCATATGTTCGTGATGTTGCTGGTTTCTCTTTTTTTCTGCTCTTTGGGAGAAGAAAGAAAACGTGGGTTCTGAAGGCGGTGTCTCCCTTGTGTACACAAGCTCCATTGCATCCGCATTAACCGGTGCCTGGGACAGGCTCAGCGCTGGCTGAGGGGAAGCAGGCCGAGGGTGTCAGGCGGAGCTCCGGGAGAGCATCAGAACGGGTTTGGGGTTGCAGCTTTGGTTCGGTGATTTTCAGTGTTACTCTAAACTTGTTTTGTGTTTTTCCAGTGTACAATAATAGGTCATAGGATTTTTGGACAATATAAAAGAAGTAATAACCCTCAACCCCAGTCATACCACTGCTAAGACTTTGGTATATTTCTTATAGTATTTTTAAATCATAGCTTTAAAGCGAAATTAGAGTAATATTGTATTGTTTTTCTTCCAGTCCAAAAGTAAGCCCTATTCAAGGAGAGAATTTTGAAAATAAAGACCAGCACTAAGGAGAAAAAACAAAAACAGAAATCACTCATAATAACCACCCAAATATAACCACAATTAAATTAGATATATATCCTTCCTGTATTTTTTTATGAATATATATGGGCACTTCTTTTGCTTTTCATGTGGTGTCATAATCTAGTACTATTTTGTACCTTGCTATTTTTCTTTTGCAGTATATTGTGAATGTTTTCATATGTTAGTAAATATTCTTGTATATACTCTTCAGTGTTACATAGAATATGAACACATTTAAATTAAGTATGTTCATTTAGCATACTTAACCATCTCCCTCCCACTGGACATTAAAAGTGTTTCTGATTTTTTGCCATCATAAAAAATACCATAATGAGTATCTTTGTCCTGCATTTCCCACGCGTCTATGATTGTCTCTTTAGGAATAAGTTCCTAGAAGTGGATTAGCTGGGTAAAAGGGTAGGTACATTTTAATGCTTTTGGTACATAAAAATGTCAAACTTTAAGCTAATCACTTGTTATATTCTGTCTTGTATTGGTATATAATTGTTTTATATGTCTGTCTTGTCTCCCTAATTAGAATATAAGCTTCTTGAGGGCAAGGGAAGTTTCCCATACGTCCTGCGTATCCTTTGACTGTGTGGTTCACGATGCCGGACTCACGAGTGATCAACAAATACTGTGTTGATTTGAAGCTGTGGTTTTATGGCCTTTTGAATGTGATAAACTTGTAAATTGAAAAATATATGTATTTTGGGGATAAGATAGGCCTACTAATTTTCTGTTTTTCTAAGAAAGAATATTAAAAAATGAAATTTCCTACCTTCATTTCCTAAACCTTCATCTCATAAAATAAAGAATGTTTAATAACAAAAAGTTTCTAATCTCTGAAAAAAGGACAGGCTTTTAAATGGAACGTTTTAGCTTTAAAAGAAAAACTCGCTGCCTTATCATAGTTTTCTCATTTTGTGTTAGACTGGTGAATCTTCACCTTAGCCAATTTGTGGTCTGTAGACCAACATTTGGGAACTACTGATTTATAATTTTAAAAAAATTACTGATTTTTCGAGAGAGAGAAGAAGGGAAACAGAAAGACAAACGCCAGTTTGTTGCTCCATGGTTGTTTCTTGAATGTGCCCTGACTGGAGATGAAGCCGTAATTTTGGCAGGTCAGGATGCTGCTCTAACTACCTGAGCTCCCAGCTAGGGTCTGGAACCTACTGATTTAAAACACTTAAAGGATTAAAAAATAAACCCTTTTGCAAAATAAATCATTCTTCCCTTTGCCCACAAGTCTGTCGTCTTCACAATATTAAGTGCACATGTGCAGGTGATGCCATTTTAATTACACAGTGTTACAAGTACTACAGGAATCAAATCCAGACTTTGCTGATGAACTTCGAAATGTATTTCCAATTGCCAACACCAAAAACTAAATTGGAGGCAGGTTAAGTGTGATGTGGAGAGAAGGCAGGTTTTAGAGTCACAGGGCTTGGGCCCGAATCCCGACTCTGGCATTGTCACGTATTTCCCTTTGCTTTCTTACTTATTTTACATAAAATAAATCTTCCTCAAAGAGTTTTTATAGTTCCAGCTGTAGCAATTATTCACTGTAATGAAATGATTTGTTTAGACATCTGCCTTCCTCATGGGGAGTCCTAGCTTGCTTTCCGCTCTAGAGCCTGGCCCAGGGCTCAAGGCGGAGCAGGCCAATCGAATGGCTGCAGAGTGGATGGGCACATGATTGCTGTGAGGGTCAAATGAGGCGATGGTGAAAGCTTGTCATGAACTTTAAACTCTGTACAAATGTGGATTGTTTTTACTCCTAATAAGAGCTGTCTTTGGGAGCTATCAAAACTTTGGGAAGGAACAGAGTTACCCATTTCACATAATGTCTCACATTTCTATTTTTTAAGAAAACAAGTTTTTATTGGGTTAATTTGGAGCTAATTTGCTCCCTGTGAAGGCAGATGAACTCCCCAACTCCTGTCCAATGGAAGTACCAAGAGATTACTTCATATTTAAAGAACAGTGCCCATTGTGTTACCCTCTTAACCGTGTGACTTACAGAAGTATACCAAACCTGAAAGAGCAGGAAACTATATCATGCCAAATTCATTTTAATCAGAGCTTTTTTTTTTTTTTTACATTCAGGGACTTAAATATCTTAGATTCTGTTTGTAAAGCTCGTGGTGAATTTTTGCCACAAGATGGCATTGGTGATTGTTGAATGCATGTTGAATTGACCCAGAATTCCAAAAAATGGTGCATATAATTATATTTTTAGGGGGATGAGTTGAAAACTTTCATCACTGCTATTATATTAATTTTGTTTTGGCTACTAAAACAGGGTTAAATGCTACTTTACATCACTTCTTTCTGTATTCAAGTATTGTTTTGTTTCCTGTTTTTCTGTCTTTATAACTACAGTAACTATGTATTATTTGCTCTGTGTTGTATGTGTCTGACTTATTGCTGATAATTGTGGTAACAGGTAAGAAGAAAATACGATGGGACCCAGTTAGGAGGCGCTTCATTCAGTCCTGTCCCATCATAAGGATCCCTAACAGGTTTTTGAGAGGTGGGTGACAACTAGAAGAGATCTGTGCTTCGTTTGGGTTAAAGGGAACTTTGAATGAATTTTCTCAGCTTGAAACTCTGTTTTTTAAAAATTGTCTAAACACCTGAAATTGGAGTAAGAAAAGTCTACAACTTAACTTTAAGACCACGTTTCATATTGACTACTGTTGAAATTGTAATCGTAAGTTTTAGGGAGTTAGAATCACTTCACATGCATTTGAGAGTAGAAGTAAATCATCTCACTGATATCACTATTACTCCACTGTAACCATATTAAAAAGAACTTTCAGTAATTTACTAAATATCGGTGTAGGAAAGAGTTTCCTAAATATGATTCTAAGGAAGAGATAAAGATTAATTTATGTGGCTGTATAAAATTAAAATCCTTTTATTTAAAAAAACATAAATAAGATATAAAGTGGGAGTATTTGTAACAAATGATTAATTTTATGAATATATAAAAAGCTCTTATAAATTAATGGTTTAAAAGCAAATGCCCACTAGAAAAATAGGTGAAACAATATGAATAGGTAAGATAATATCTATCAGTTTATAAAAAGAAACTTCAATAAATATGAATAAATATTTATTTTCCCTATTGTTATAAACATGATTATTAAAATAATAGATTCACCAAGACCAAAAATAAGTATTCCCAGTGTGGCGAGGTTATGGGAAAATGAAGCTCATATGTGGAAGGACGTGTAAATTTAACAGCCTTTTTGGATCAAATTTGTCATTGTGTATCAAAATTCTTAAAAATCTTTACATCCTTTGACCTTGCAATTCTTACTTTTAGAAATGTTACATTCCTTCTAGTTTCAAATTTTTCCCCAAAAATACTCCTTAGTCAAAAAAGAAAATCCCAGAAGAGAGTTACACTATTTCTAGATTTACAAATTGTCAGACAAGCAAACTTAATGTAATGTAGACTTTACTAAATGATTTTGACTGAAGAGATTATTTTTTTTAAAAACCTAGAAAAAATCTTGTAGCTGCTATAGGTGTTTTCATATCTAGTACCTAACTTATTTTTAGCAGCCAAACTTCAGAACATGAAAAGAGTAAAATCTGTCTTAAATGGGTCAAGATAAGATACTTAGGATGGTATGCTGCCTTTTAGCATCAATAAGTTATTTTATTGGTACAAATGAAGGTATAATTTTAGTGTAATGTGACAGAAGGACTATTGGGCACACACGTGGCCAAGCAGGCACATTTAAGTCTGTAACTTCTTTTTCAGTTCTTCAATTTATAAATTAGAATGTTAATTTGTTGATTTACAATGAGAAAGCTAACTTGGACTAAATTTAAGTATAATTAAGAAAATTGTTTAATTAGGATATACTATTTAATGTAATACCAATTTTGTACAAATATAAACATAAAAAACAAGAGAAATGGTGAAATAATGTTATACCTGATGGTAGGGTTTTATGTTCTTTTGTGTATTCTTTGTTTTTCAATTTTTTAATTGTGGAAAAAGAGATTAGCACAGGTAAGTGTTATACCTTTGATTCTTCTGCAAGCCCCGAATGGCCCCAGACAGGGGCTGAGGAGGGTGGTCTCGGTGCTGGGGGGAGTGGGGCGGGAGCAGACTCAGGAGCGGCAACATCAAGGTCCCCAGTGACGGCCTCGGCATCAGTGGCCTGTCTTAGTTCATACCTTCTTTGACCTGCTTGTGGTGTTTGATGCTGTTGACCCCCTGCACCTTCTTAGAGTTTTCTCATCCTTTGGGTTACTTCACTGTATAATCCTGGATGTTTTCTTCCTACTTCTTTGATTGTTCATTCTGTTTTCTTCACTAGCTTCTTTCTTCCTGCCCACTAAAGGTGGGTATTGCTTCTGTGTTCTGTCCTCTCCATCATCTCCTTTGGTTATCTCATCAGCTTCCACAGACTTAACTATCTTCGTTCGTTCGTTCGTTCGTTTGCTCATTCTTTCATTCTTTCAGTATTTCTTGATTGCCTGTTCAGTAACAGGCACTGTGCTAGCTCAGTGATCTAGATAATGAAGAATCAGGGAAAGAAAGAGTTGTAGAATACCTTCGGTGTAATTCTTTGTGATAAGTGTCCTGATGAGGTAGCATGGTATGGGAACATACAGAAGAGGTACCCGGCTCAGCTCGTGGGAGGATGGAGGGAGAGGAGTGGTCATTAGGATGATTTTTCAGAAGAGATGTACTTAAAGACCAAGTGGGTGTTGGCTTGGGAGGGTAGGAACATCCCAAAACCATGGGACCAGCTAGCTGGAGTAATGGCAATGGGCAAAACAGCTTGGCCTTTCAGAGAACCGTAAAGTTCAGCTCAGTGGGAAAGTGTGTGGAGAGAAGCTAGAGAGAGCCCACATCAAGTTGGGTACCACCCAAGGGGAGTTTTGAGGACCTGCTTGTTTTTTTATTTAGTGAAGAGGTTTATTTGAAAGTCCAATTACAAGGTCATTTTAGTATCAAGGTAAGAAATGATGGCAGCTACAAATACAGCAGTTATAATAGGAACAGAGAATAGGGAATTGATTTGAAGTCTAAGGAAGTGGAGTTAGGTAAGACTTTACTAACTGAAGAAGAGGAGGGAAAAGGCAAGAAAGCTCGCAGCTCTCTGTGTGGGTCATTGTGCTCATTACCAGGTGGTATGTAACTAACTGAATGGAGGAGCAGACTGAGGGGAAAGATGGCAATTCAGTTTTATCCCCTGAAACCAATAATAGTGTATCTCTGAACACTCTCACTAAGAGTTATTTCCTGGGAAACCTCCTTTGAAGACATTTTTTTGTTCTCATGGCACCCTGTGTACCCGCCTGTATCATACACTTATCACACTGAATTATAGTTGTTCATTTACTCGTATATGCCTGCTGTAGACTGTAAGCTCTGTAAGGGCAGGGACAGTGCCTTTGAGTGGAATTGAATTATTTATAAGGCTACTGTCAGGGAATAGGGTGGGCCTCAACATTTAGTACGTTCTCAACTTCTCTCTGGTGGTGGTGACAGCAAAATGATGAGCTGCTGAGAACATGAAGATGCTGTGGGTTAGCGTCACTTACATTAAAACAATACTTACCTGTACTTTTGAAATTCCCCCTTCCAAGACTCTCACTTTGGGAATCCTCTACATTACCTCCATTGATACGGATTGAACACAGTTGCATGGGGCTTCTTTTCTGCCCGCCACTGGATTGTTTTACTCAATCCTGTGTCTTCTCTAAAATATATTTCTACCAATTAAAATTGTGTGGTATAGTGAAAACAATGACTTACCACTGATGGACCTAACACACCCATTTTCTTTTCCATACTTCTCAGATATCACTGATAATGACAAGACAGACACATGAAAAAGAATAAGTCATAATTCTATTAAAAAATGGAAAAGGGAGGCTTTGAAGCCAGATTACCTAGGTCTGAATCCAGGTTCTGCCATTTACCAACTGTGAGACTTCGGGCAAGCTACTTACTCTCTTTTTGGTCTCAATTTCCTAATTTGTAAAATTAGGATGATGATATAATAGTATCCACTTCTTAGGGTTGTTTTGAGGCTCAAGAGAGATAATATGAGCAAAGCATGTTAGAAGAGGTTGCTTTTTTTTTTTTAAGAGTTTTTCCATTTTAGTCAGTGTTTTACATTTAGGCAATTCATGTTAGCTATCATTCTTATTATTGCTATTATACCAGAAAATTGGTAGAATTTAGGGTAATAGAAAGCAGTTGGAATTATAATGATCGAAAAATGAGAACAGAATAAAATGCAAGCTCAAATAGGTGCTCCTGCTGCATGCTGGAAGTCAGGAGAATTTCTTAGGCCCCTTTTCTGAAACTCTAAGCTTAAAGTCAGTAAATGCAGAAGGAAGGAGGAGAAGGTTGTGGGAAGATGAAACATCAGAGCAAAAAATTAAGAGACTTTCTAAAACAGTTATTTCCCCTACTCCTGCTCTCTCTTCATATAAAGAGCTCTGGCAATGCCATTAGTACCCAGGACAGAGCTAGAAAACAGCTCTTTAAGCAAAGGACGGCATTTGCTTTTGGGGGGGGGGTGTGGTGATAAGCAGTGCTCTCATCGACCAGGGCCGGAGAGCGGGTACAAGCACAAACCAGAGCTTTAGGCAGTGGACCTCCATAGTGGTGGATGAGGGGGGTCCAGTGGGGAAGGAAAAGAAAGGGGACCCCATCAAGGATTTGGACCATACCATTAAAGGACTATGCCATCAAAATGGAGCCTGCCTTTGTTGGCAATAGTAAAGGAAACTGCTTTTTCTCCGCTTCTGAAGAGAAGAAGCCTGTCAGTGTGCCGCTTCCCTGCAGAGACCCACAGTCAGCCAGATCTCCCATTGGAGGACTGGAGACAAAGTGACACAGCTGTTGAGGAAATTTGTACCTTGACAATCGCCAGTCAACATAGCCCTTTACTTATTAATATGAATAAGTGATCAAAGCCCACTGGACATTTGCAGGAAACTAGACTTGAAAGACTAAGATGAATGAATAAAACAGCTGACCGCAGTAGAAACAGAGGTAATGAAGAAGCAGATTGGAGCTTTAGGAAGTTCTGATAGTGGGAAGTTTCCTCAGAGTCAAGAGTAAATTGGATCCATAGATAAAAAAGCAGTTTTTTTTAATCCATAGATAAGCTGTGGAGAAAAAGGAATAATTAAAGAATTAATTTTATATTGAAGATGATTGCTGAAATAAAAGTGCAGTTGGGGGCTTAAATAATATATAGGTTTAAGGCCAATCTTCATGAAAATAAAGGAAATACGCAGTCCATAAAGCAAGAAGACCAAAAAAGAAAATGCATGAGAAAAATTACACTTTGAAGATCATTCCATGTGATCCACTACCCATTTTCTAGTTATAGGAGGAAGGACAGCAGAAGGGAGAAAATAAATGGATAATATTTCCCTATGTTGAAGAAAGACTCTGAGTTTTCAAGTATAAAGAGCCCACTAACAAGCTGGAAAGTGAAAAAGCAAATAAACAAAAAGCATCTGCCTATACATTGCTGAACT